GAGTTTCTCTTTGTAAACCAGCTTAGTTTTATGCATATTTTACGAATGAAGATTGAAGGAGACGAAGGGGGGAGAGGGGTAAGAGAGAAGCGGAGGCTGCTTTGAGATGGAGGAAGGAAGAGATCTAGAGTTGAAGGTTTGGAGAAGAATCGATGAAGAACGGAGATGAAATATCTCTCTCAACCTAGTCGAGAGAGAAAACAAAATTAAGGTTTCTATCTAAAATTAAATTGGGAATCGCGGTTTGGTAATATGTTTAACGAAACCGTCCCTAATCCGTCACAAAAGAGTGACAGTTTAAGTTTTGGGCACCCAAAATTCCAAATTATTTAGCGAAATGGGCCAAAATTTTTAAAACAAAAATTTTAAAACGGTCACAAAAGCATCGGTGATGATCAATCCATCACAAAAGCGTTACACAACAGTCATAAATTTGCGATTATTTACTAACGCCCGTAGTAGTCACAACTCGAAACCCTAAACATTTACACTTATAATTGTGTGTCAAATTCCTTTCCAATATGTTTTTCATCTACTTGTGAACTTATTGGTAAGTATATAGAGTGATATTTAACTTCTAAAATAAATTTCCATCAAAATCTAATGATTTCCAAATGTAAGATTGAAATCATATTGAGTTTATGATCAAAGTTGATTAAACATTGTGAGATGGTTTGAAATTTGTAGAAATTTAAAATTTTCAAATATTCTAATGTAGCTAGTTTAATTTATCAATTTACATTCGGAAATATGACTTTTTAATACTCATACTTTGTAATTTTCTCAAAAATCATAGCGTGAGTTGCTAAACAGTCAGAAATAAGTCACAAATATATAATGCTTTTGTGTCTACTATATTGGCATCACAAATTTGCGACTTTTTGTAACTAACTTAAAAAATAAAAGTAAAATGATTGATCTTTTGTTCGAACCACGGACCCAATTGGCTTATGACTAGGCCTTTTCCATCATGCTAAGGTGTTATATGTTATGTACTTGCTAATGTTCATATATAAACTTCCACTAACGAGTAAATAAAAAAATGTGGGTCATTATATAGAACCCATGAATCGAACCCAACTCTCTCGGTCGTTAATATGATGTGTTGCCACTAAGCTATTGTAACTAATCGGTATTGTATCACATTATCTTGTATATATTTCTAAGATTGTCGTAAATCTGTCGTTCCTAGAGTAACTTTTATCCATTAAGTGACGGTCCTTCCACTCGACACCGTCGGATCACTAAGACCGACTTTTGTCCCTGCTCGACGGGTGGATCTTGCAGTCAACTCGTAAATTTGCAACAGTTTTAAGACTATCTTAATTGGCTAAATAGACAGTCAAAATGTAGTCGTAAAATCGTCGCAAATTTGCGACCACGTAAAACCAATCGATTATTGATCTTATTTTCGTCGCTAATTAAGGACATAATTACGACTATATTCGTCCGTCGTAATTGTGCGACGATTTTGCTACGATTTTATGCATGGCCACAAATGTGTCAAGAAACCGTCACAAAGGAGTCACACATTTTTGTGACGGAAATAACAGTCACAAAAAATGGTCACAAATTGATTGTTTTTTTGTAGTATTTATGTCCGGTTTTTTATTGTTTTTTTACTATTATATTTATAATTGTTTATGAGAAGTTGCATACTATTTTGTCTTGACGTGGGACTTAATTTTCTTTGTTATTATAGTCTTGTAGTAATGAAATTTTTGTCAAAGTGAATTGCCATAGTTCTGGCCAATTCAAAATAGAAAATGGGGTCTTGAATTACGTAGATGGAGTGCTTGATGTGGTGGAGGTTAATTATCTTACCTCCATATTTGAGGATATGGTATTGAAGATGCTTGATAAAAAGATTGACATCGGAAAAATGTGGTGCAAGCTATTATTTTTTTTGTTGATCTAACCGAATTTTACTGGTTATACGGTATACCAAAACCGGGAGAAAAGTTATGGTTATAATGTTAGCCACATAACCTATATTTGTTCGTGAATGTCATCATGCAAATTCAATACTTGGTGTAGATTTCGATACATTAAATTAGTTTGGATGTATAGTCATGCGTTGAAATATATTTCGTGTAGGTTAGAATGATTTTTCTTGCATGTCGTCCACTCAACACCACTGTGTCTCTACCATTTTTGACAATTTATTTATTCTTTCTCACTGTTATTTTTTTGGGGATAAATGTCACTATTATTTATGACGACTATATGCGAATATACTTTTTTGTTAATTATATTAATCGCTACATCACACGAAGTTGATCATCTTTGTTTACTTTTATATCATGCTTAAATATTTCGACACGCTAAATATATTACAGTTTCGTTCTAAAGACCACTACTGATTATGAATCCGGACGAAGAGTTAGGATTCTTTAATAAAATTTATAATTTGAGAATATCAGAATTATGAAATAGAATTCTTAGTTATGGAAAAACTACTACTATCTGTATATCCATAAAATTCTATATGGGACTATATTTTTCCAAAAAGGTAGGGTAAATTTGTTAATTTTTTTAAACTGTTAGGTAAACTTTAGTACATCAAGTCTAGTAGCTATTATTTTTAGTACACTATTACGACGAAAAACTGAGTTATATAATTTCTTTAGATCAACCGGTTTAGTCGTTCTATTAAGACTATTACATGATCTCATCGTATACTCGTATATATGGAATATATATATCTAATTATAAAGGTGATTTATAATATGTTTAGTTCATGATTCACTGATCATGGACTTAATTAGATCGATATAAACATAGGAAGAAAGTGATTTTATCCATAAGTTGAGGTGATAGTGAACTTCATTCGTTTGCGCCAAAAAAAAAATGTGAACTTCATCCATTCTTTTGGAACGTGGGAAACATCCACTCACCCCAAAACTTTTCATTAAAATTTTCCATTTTTATTAATACTACCAAAAAGGAATAAATAATGACCCTACGGGATATCACTGTTATGTGCTGTCAACTGTGTTTTCAATTCCTTTTTCTTTCAAATAATTGGTATTTAATTTCAACTATCAATTATTAGACACAATGTTTAGTAGAGAAACTACTAAAAAATATGACATTTTACATTTGCAGATATATTTTTGTTTTTATAATTATCAAAGAAAACATATTACAGTAATGTTTAATATAGTTTCAAAAAAATTTACAAGAATAAAAATTCGAAAAAAAGCAAACAGCTATATTTAATCAATTTTAAGATTATAAATCATGATCATTTTTTTTTATTTTGTTCTTAACAATACCGCTATGATTGGGTCTACTATATGATTTTAAGCATATAAACATTTTGTTTTTACAAGAAAAACATTGTTTCGAAAATGAGAATGAACATTTACATGTCCACTAGTAAAACTGATAAAGAATTTAAAACACAAGTGGTTCTAGATTCCCTAACACTGATGTATTAGGCAAATCAAATTGCGTAGTGGGATCAAATAAATAGTGGCGAATCTACAGAATTTTTTTTTATCGGGGTCATAATATAATAATTAAATAAGTGTTTTTAAAGAATATATGAAGAAAATGATTAAAATAAAATAAATATACATGGAAAACTATGGAAGCGGTGTAATTAGGGGTGGAAATT